ATTTAGAAAACAAGACTATTACATGAATAAGCATTGCCGAGTTTCAGCATCCGTGCAGGGACAGGAACGACTCTCACACATTGATACAATGCACAGTCAATTCGATTTATTGGTCTGCTTGCGTGGTTATATACATTTTTCATATCTGCACATGCGATCACACTTATTCGGATAGGCTACAGGCATAAATCACACGCTGTTCACGCACCCCATATTCCCTTATGATTGATAACTATGCACTAATGCTAATAGCAACAGACCGCCTGCACGTCCTTGAACACATCTTGTTTTTGCTAACCCACATCATGTGCACTATCAGAACTTTCTCAATGGCTATTCTTAGCTGCCCTTTCTAGCGGCCTGTTCAGTTATGCTGTTTTGCTTAAGTGGCCTAGTCATGCTAACTCTCAAGCTACATCGACCCCAACAAAGCCTAAAGTCAAATTAAGATTTTACAGGGAACTATTTTGTCAAGTTATCACATTTTACGTTTACTAACTTTATTGCTGCTTACCTTCCTGAGGAGTTGAAACCACTGGTGTATAAATGAATTCTTCAATTTTTTTTCCCCAGTTATTTACACTACAGCTTTTTTTTCCCTTCACGATAAATACTTTTTTGTGTGATTTCTGGCTTCAAATTGGAACAATACTAATCCCAAATTCTGTAAAGAAGAAGTGCAAATTTTAAGCCAGAGGATTGGCACGTCTGACTAGTAGTGTTTTGGCTAAACGATATATTTTTCTTTTGTAGCACTGAAGAACACAGAAGTCTCTTAACATTTTTCAGAAGCCTTTCGTCTTATGCTGAGTGGTATGAACATCGTAGATGCACCTTCCTACATTTCAAGGTAGTGTCTATCCAGCCTTTATGTATCAGTAGTATATTTAGTTCTTTTATTTTCTTAAGGCAGAGCAATGGAGGTTAGATTAGCACTCTTGAGCAGAGTATGGGAATCTTAGTTGTGCACATTGTGGAGAAGAGAATATTAGCTAAAGATTTTTGTGTTGCGTTCAAGGGGTAATGCCCTTGCTTGGTATTTGTTTTGATTTTTACTATGCTGTGTTCCTCTTACATGGGGGGAAGTAAGAATACCTGTGCCTTTATGTGAGGGAGTAAGACAATTTTTAGGCGGTATTGCATTTCATTTTGAACAAAGAAAAGGCAAAAGAAGAAATTAAAAGGAAACAATATTTGTATACAGTCGTTGGCATTTGAATGTTAGTTCCGAAGGACTGGATCTGTCTCTCTTGAAAATATGGCAGCATGCATTTGGACGATGGCGTTTTCAGTTCTGCATTGTTTTATTTGAATGGGAAATAAACTGTTCCTCACTCTTAACTGGAACATGGTATTTGAACTTAGTTTTAAATTACCATTATTTGGCTTGTTTGCTTTGTCTTTGTGCTGGTTTTAAGATAAACAAGTATTCCTTGGAGTAAAAATACTGTAGTCTTACAGATACAGAACAGAACATCTTATATGATGATTAATGTTGGAGAAGGACATTTAGCTGCTTAATTGTCTGGTGGTTTTAGTTCAGTTTTCTTTAGCTCAGGCTTTTACTGTCATTAAACTCAGCACCATGTTTGCTCTTCAGCTGTAGTATTAAGTGGGAACTGCTCTGTCTCACATTTTTTGAATATTATGGGGTGGGATTCTGAGTTTATAGCTTTTCTATTTTTTTGTTATTTATAAGAAAATTACCCAAGCTGTTAAGTAGAAATAGACAGTGCTGCTAGCAGTTTTCTCACAGTGTAATGTAAAAAGAGGAAAGGCAGATTATTTTTTGTTTTCTGTTAGTTTTGGCACTTGAGAAGACAGGAATAATGTAGAAGTGGATAATAAGTGTTTGAGATGAATGACAGTTGCAAGTTTCAAGCAAAGTTGGACAGTACAGCACTTCTAAAAAGTTGACTGCCAAAAATGGCCGTTTTGTAGTCAGTTTTCCCAGTTAGCAAGAGTAATGGTGGGATGGATAACTCCGCTTAAGCAAAAAAGCAATTTAAAATATGCATTGATTTGACTGTAAGCAGGCTTTCCTAGAAAGCAGGGGCAGGTTTAGGTTGGTGTGAGTAGAGCAATGTTCAGTTGCAAGCGTTTTGTGCTCTATGTTGTATACTCCCTGGCATTGTGCTTTAGCAGTTGTGGTTTTGTACTGAAATAGCTTAGTCTACAACTTGCATGCTTCTCACACACACAGCTGAGGATTGAGCATACCATTACTACCCTCTGCTGCTCCTCCATTCTACTGAAAAAATCTATAAAATAGTGCTTTAAATAGATTTTGAAGGGGCGAGTGAAGTGTCCCACAAGTCTTTTGTATGGCATTACTTGTCCAGCAGGTCTTACTACATTGCCACAATCATTATTATGTCTGCAAAATGGATGTACATCTGCAAATAATTTAGGCTGCTATGAGGCTGAACAACTGAAGCATGCTGCAATTGGTGGAAGAGCAGATTGTTGAAGCTGATATTGATAAACAAGAAAAATATTGAAGTTTTGTTGGCAATACAGCACAGAAATGAGAGATAGGAAGAAAATAAATGGTGCACATTCAGCTTGGTATTAGTATTGGTCACACAAATAGGATGCAAGAAAACCTGCATACTGAAGCCCTTCTCACTTAATATTTCGATGAGTTATTTGCTATGATTGGGGAAGGTAAACTAAAACATATGAGATAATACCAGTTGTCTACTTCAGTTTGCTCACAAAATGTTAAGATGGTTAATTAGTGTTACTGTTGAGATTTAGTACTTTTCCAAAAATATATACAGCATTTTAATGTAAAATTGGTAATGTGGTAGTGGTTACATCTTTATGTTTACACGTATGTATACATTACATAAATGTGCATATATTTGTGTATACATGTGTAATTATTTTCATGGGTAGACTTTTGGTGATAGTGATCCTATTAATACTGGAAAGAGCTTTATTTATTAATAATGATTTGTGATGTGAATAACATCAGAGGCTACTGCTTATGTAATGCTGTTACACTTCTAGCTGTGTTTTCTCCATCCTAGGCATTTATCAAAAGACAGAAAACTGATGGCTTTTATTTTTTCCTAGTATAAATTTGGCTTGAAGTTGGAATGTATTTTCACATGCTTTGGGGTTATTTTTTACCTTTTGCTACAATCCTTGAAACATCAAAGTTTTATGATTTACGTGGGAAAGTGAAAACCAAGTATCATTCTCACTGTCAGACTTTGTTTTGTTCTCAGTTGTACTAAGACAATGGAATTTCTTTCTTGTTGTATCAAATAACTTAAAAGAGAAAATATTGGGGATTGCTATGATTTTCTTGGGTAATAGGTTCAGGGCAAAAATATTTTTGTCCTGCATTTCATAATTGCGTCCTCTTTCCAGAAAGATGAGCCCACGGTTGATGCTTGACGTAGTCACTTAAAAAGTGGCTGAAAGTCACTGAAGTCTCAACCCTCATAGTGTCAGAGCATCAGTATGTTCAGAATTAAGTGTGCACTTAATTCTCCATAGCACAAGCATTAACAGTCAAGGCTTAGCTAAAGAAAATAAACAAAACTAATACAAAATATCTTGTAAAATCAGTATTCTAGATGTAGTGATATATCCTCATGCATTTGATGCTTAACTATTTATACAACTTAGGAATCGATACTAGCTTCAAAATTAGTATGAAGTTGATCTGGTAATAGTAACTAGCACACTTTTGGCATTAATTTATCTGAAGAGTTTACACCCATGGTAGATATTTGAGGGGACAAACTGAAAATGAGTGTCAGAAGTGTATAGTTGTGTAATTAAACATTGTGTCCTGTGTCAGGTCTAGTTTTAGGTGAACTGACTGTTGAGGCCTGCACAGGTCGATTTGTGTTATTAATATGCTGCATAGTTTAAATTGAGTGAAACAGTGCTTGAAGTTAAGCCTATTTTTAGATTAATGATTATTTTTCTTTTTAATTTAAAGATCTGATTTGATTTTTCCCTTAATGAGTGAAAGTATTTTTGTACAAGGGTAATTCTATTTCTTTGCACTGACATCTAGCTGACATCTTACTTATTTACAGGTTACAAACAATAATTCAACTTTGCTATTAATTATGTTGTCACATTTCCTTGTCAAGAAAAAGCAGTGGCACAAGGCTTGGCCTACATCCTCTGTTAATGACCAAGATACTTTGAGTCATACTATGCTGTACTTTGACCATTGTATTAAAATGGGAAACTAGTGTTTGTAAAAATGACCCTTGTGAGTACAGCTGAGCAAAATGTATATATTTTAATTAAAACTACCTTGTGTAAAAATAAAATATGTATATAATATATACACACACACTCTTAGATTATCTTGAAAGCAAAATAGTAGAAGGAGATTTAACACATCTATGAAAAGTTTCACTTGCTATGTTGCTTGCTACACTAAGCCTTAATAGGAATTATTCTCGTTTTCCACTATCCAGGTTTTTAAGGAAGCTTTAATGAAGTTAAGCTTTGAGAAGTTCTGTTTCTAAACATAACTTTCTTTTGTATGCAACTTCATCCAATACACTTTTGAAGGTCAACTAAAAAAGCTTCATTTCAGATTAAAAAGTGGGATTGGAATGAACATACTTTTTTTTTTTTCTCCTCCCTCTGTAGCTTCCTCAAAGAATGTTTTGCATTTGTCTAAAATTAATATGTAGTGATTGTTCTGGGTACTGGTAAAGAATGTGAACAAGCAGTTACTTGCGTGATTTTACCTACAGGTAAAGAATATGAGGTGAAAGAAAAGTTGAGAAGATGTGTGTGCATATATGTATTTTTACACTTTCGTAAAAAAGCATGGTGACATTGTAACTACTAAATAAACTGGCTGTTTTGAAATACTCATTTCAGAGGAGAACCACATTTCAACATAGTAAAAGCTTCTAGGTATGCAGGGATAACGACATTAGTAAGGGAGAGGATATAAACATGTAAACAAAGGAAAAAGAACAATATTTGTTACATGACAAAACTTAAACATGGTATAATTACGTAAGTAGTGGCTAGTAGTATGTTCCTACGGGCAGTGTTCGCAAGCAGGAAAAAGCATTGACGTGTTTTGCCAAGAGGATCGGATTGCCTTCCATTCTTATCTCATCCATATGTGTGCGGATGTAACGTGTGTTATTAGATTTGCAGAATGTGTCATCTGTGATCGTTGTAATATTGTTGTACTGCAAAACAAAAGTTTTTTATAAATAAGTAAACAAACACACAGACATATATACACACACCCATACATGTAGAAGAATTTTCAGACATTAATTTTATTCCTTTTACCCTCCCATTTTATTGTCATTAGGATCGATTTGTGTGTACTATAGATGTGTAGGAATCAAGTATCTTCAAACCAATTAGTGGGCTGATAAGTAATCTGAGACTGTTACTGATGTTTGAAATGTATTGTTGATAAAAGATTATTACTTATTTTTACCATTTCCTATCCTTGATATACAGAAACTTTTCAGAAATTCTTACACGGTAATTAGAATCATAGAATCATTAACATTGGAAAAGACCTGTAAGATCATCAAGTCCAACTGTCAACCCATCACCACCATGCTTACTAAACCATGTTCTGAAGTGCAATGTCTGCATGTTTTTTGAACCCCTCCAGGGTTCGTGACTCCACCACTTCCCTGGGCAGCCTTTTCCAATGCCTGATCACTCTTTCAGTAAAGAAATTTTTCCTAATATCCCATCTGAACCTCCCCTGACACAACTTGAGGCCATTGCCTCTCGTCCTATGGCATACAAGTCAGGATGCCGTTGGTCGTCTGGGCCACCTGGGCACACTACTGGCTCATGGTCAGCCAGCTGTCGACCAACACCCCAAGGTTCTTTTCTGCCAGACAGCTTTGCAGCCACTCCTCCCCAAGCCTGTAGTGTTGCATGGGGTTGTGACTGAAGTGCAGGACCTGGCGCTTGACCAGTTGGCCTCGGCCCATTGATCCACTCTGTCCAGATCCCTCTGCAGAGCCTTCGTACCCTCAAGCAGATCGACACTCCTGGCCAACTTGGTGTCATCTGCAAACTTACTGAGGGAGTACTCGATCCCCTCAACCAGATCATTGATAAAGATGTTAAACAAGACAGGACCCAAAACTAAGCCCTGGGGGGCACCACTTGTAACCGGCCACCAGCTGGATTTAACTCCATTCACCACCACTCTCTGTGCTTGGCCATCTAGTCAGTTCATTATGCAGCGAAGAGTACACCCACCCAAACCATGGGCAGCTAGTTTCTCTAGGAGGATGCTGTGGGGAACAGTGTCAAAAGCCTTACTAAAGTCCAGGTAGATAACATCTACAGTCTTTCTGTCATCCACTGAGCGGGTCACCTAGTCATAGAGGAGATTAGGTTGGTCAGGCAGGACCTGCCTTGCATGAACCCATGCTGGCTGGGCCTGATCCCCTGGTTGTCCTTCATGTGCATGGTGAGTGCACTCAAAATGAACTGCTCTGTAATCTTCCCCAGTACTGAGGTCAGCTAACAAACAACTTCTGAACACTGAATGGTTGTGGCCGTAGAGATTAGAGGTAAATTGTGTTATCTGGAGGAGCATCAGACAACTGTAGCACACCTGCAGTGTGAAGTGTTTTAAAAGACAGTGGGTTTGGTTTGAAGTATGAAACTAATGAGGCTCTTTGTAATAGAATGTTAAGGAAATAGTTCAAAAATACCTGAAGGTGAAGAATACGTAGACTTTCCGGTAAGTTAAGGGGAACAGATTCTAGTGCGTTGTGTCCTAGGTAGAGGTAGGCCAAATTTGTCAGCTTCTAATAGGAAGAAAGAGAGATAATTAATGCTGATACTACTTATCTGAAGTGAAGTAACTTGTGCCTGTTAGAAGACATCAGTGTTTTTTTCTGATCACATAGAAAACATGTAAAGTGTTCTAGCATGTAATGTTCTTTTGCTGTGAATGTTTAATTCTCTTGTATCGAGAAACTCCTATAGAACAGCCCTTCTACATTTTGGAATTTTCACTGTCAGCTTTTTGATTACAAAACTTGAGACCACTATGAAGTTATATCCTTGTTTATTAGTATTTATGTGATTCTGTGTTTGAGCCACCAGTTTTGAATTGAGTTTTTCTTTGCATGTAGCAGAGAAAGGAAGTAGGTAAGATATTTCATAGAAATTTTTTGTATGAATGACATGACAGTGTGCAAAGGACTATTATTGTGAAGTGTCTTAAAAACAAAACAAAGGCTGGAAGGCTTCATTGTCGTAGTTTATTTCTTAGATTACAAAAATACAGAAAAATTAATTTGGTGGTACACTGGGTAGTCTGGTTACTAATTTTATCTACTTTGGTTACTTTAATTATTGTCTTTTACTTACCTTGAAAGCATTTGCTTTGATTCCTCTGCTCTTGATTCTGTTTTGGTTTGCATTAAATGTTGTTAGTTTGGGAGGTAGAATGGGAAGTTTTAGAAGTCGATTTTCAGCAAGAGAAAGTTCTTCCAGTAACAGAAGCTTTGAAAAGGCTCCATCTTCTATTTCTTCTATCCTATTTCCACTAAAATCAATTCTTCTCAAGGTAGCTTTACACAAAAGAAATGAAAATCTGAATATTGAATTTATAATTACATGGTATGTGAAATGTGTATGGTTGTATATGTTAGATGTTACACTGTTGGCTGTACCATCCTAATTGTGATCTGCAAGTGTAAATACTATTTAAATATGAATAAAATCCACATATGGATTTCCTCGTGGTCTTAAAAAAAAAAAAAAAAAAAAAAAAAAAACAAAAAAAAACCCCAAAAAACCCAAAAAACCCACTTGATCCTTCCTTTGTTTTCTTAGAGACAACATGATGCCAGGTATTCATAGAATTTGTCATGTTGTAGAGTGAGTTTGCTGGGAGAGATGTCCCTGAAGCATTTGAAGGGAAAATAATACCTGGTCTTTGGAGACTGGATGGGATGCAGAGTTAAATTTTATTTTTAGCAATCTGCTCTTTCTGTGATTGCATAGGAAGATAAAGATGGATATATGAGCCAAAATGGGTTTCCATATTGCCTTCATAGTTCCTGTTCTAATACAGGCATGGAATTAAATAAGTAATACACATAACGAAATCTAGCAAAGTATATAATACATCTTTTTTTTGTAATCTTGGCATACTATTAAGGGACAACAACTTCAAATATACTGTCAGGTAAACAGAAATTAAATTTTGAACGTTACTTACTAATGTCAGCAAAATCTGATACTGCTATCCTTTTTATTTTGTTAAATCGTGCATAAAGATATGCTGTTTCCTTTGGCAGTGGGGGTACAGCTTCAATGTCAATTTCCTCGCAGTACACTGATCCGCTTAAACATACGCAGAGCAGACAAGTAGGTAAATCTGAAAGCAAATTATTTTATGTAGAGAATTAGAAGCTATTCAACTAACTTAAGCTCAAATATTCAAAATAGAATTTTCTCTGATGTCTTTTAAGATTTCACATCATTAGATTTTTAAAAAATTCTATTGACATCGAATTCTGAAAAGATTTAATATTCTGAACTTAATTTTGAGTTTTGTATTCTTTTTATTGTGCATAATTTCCCTGTGTATATTCTCTGTTCTTATCAGAGCATGTCTTGAAATGCTATTAATTGATCTCAATTCAGTTTCATTCTTTAATTGGCATAGAGTGTTGTGATTATAACAACTGCAACTCTGTGACTGTGTTAAATGTCATCTTTAGAACCACTCTTTTGAAAAGAGAAATCCATTCAGGGGTGGCATCTGGCAGTGCACAAATTTGATGCTGTAATTTCATTGGAGCATTTGTGGCAGGGTCATATATTCTCTGTGTTATTCCTAGCTACTATTTTTGTCTAATCCTTTTTATAAAAACTCCAGCAGTGATGACTATGTAAGTACTTCGGGCAATCTGTTCCAGCTTTTTACTGATGGTTTTTTATAGCTGTTGTTTTAAGTAGCGAGAGAAACTTTTTGAATGCATTTTAAGCCCGTTATGGCTGGTTCCATTCCTCATAGACGTGAGTAGAGTATGAGTCATTTCTGCTTTGCATTAATCCTGTATGACAACAGTATTGCAATACATGTAGTGAATATGGCTTTCAATCCAGTTTTGTCACCACTGCTGTCTGATCTACTGTGTTTTCTATATTGTGAGAGTTTTGGTTAGCTTCCAGACTGGTCTGTCTGTAGTAGTCTCATACTACTAGGTAGTTTGTTATCACTACGTAGTAAAGTAGGATCTTCGACAACTAGTGAGGAGTTGTAGAAGTAGCTAGTCAATACTGGGAAGCCAATCTGGTATATATAGTCAGAGTAATTCTTTTGCAGAGATACTGCATAGAATGGAATTCAGATTTTGAACTTTAGCTTTGTGAATATTACAGTTTGTTAGTCTTTAGAGTTCTGCTCCATTTGCCTTTTTTGATTTAGTGACGTGTTTGTCATATGCTAGAGCGTAGGTAATGGAAAATGGTTGGGAAGCAATGTTGTCACTATTTAAAAGACAACAGTTTTTATGCTTGTCTGTGACTGGAAGCTCTGGTTTTCTTACAGATTTGTTCTGCTTCTGATGGGGGCTTCTTGACAGGTGCTATTTGGTAATAATTAACTTTGATTATTTTTGGAAGTTTAGATCACAGATACACCTGAAATATGCATGGGGTGGTTTGGGGTTTTTTAAATGCTCTGTTTGGCAGACAAAAACTTTGCTCCTTTGAAGTTTAGAAATCACTCTGGCTCGTTTGGAGAAGTCTGGAAAATATAACTCAGAGCCTGTAGGAAGCTTAGCCTGGTGAAGAATGTTCCTGATGTGTTTTAACCATTGACCTCCTCAATCATCAGATGTAAATTGTGAGAATAGCCAGTTCTTTGAAGAAATCTATTTAAGTAATTTAAGGACATCATGCGTTATCATCATTTGGTTAAACTGTGCAACTTCGTGGGGTGTGTATTTTGTTTTTCTTGGTTGTCTTGCCTAACTTATTTAACGTAGGTACATCTCTACAGCAAATATGACTAGGTAAGTCTGTAGAGATTGTTATGAGCTGTACTTTCTGTATTTGGAGTTTACTTGAGGATCCTTTAAATTTTTTCAACCTGCTCTATCAGATGTTAGAAGACTTTCCACAGGAGATTTGAAAGATGTTCATAAATGAAAAGATTTTCTATATCCCTTGACATCCTTTGCATATTAAATTTTCATACTAAAATATGTTCTTTTGGAGAGCCTAAATGTTACAATATTCATACCAGTTAACTTACTTGTATCCTTTGTTGGTGGTACATTGCTTTCACTATCATCCGCCTGCAGTCTTAGGGAAGTGTCAAGAGAAACGTTTGTTCCATCCTTTGTGTGAGAGCAAATGTCATTTTAAAAAACAAACAGCAAACAAAAACCAGAGTATTATAAGGATCTGAAATAGCACATCTTTTTAAAATGAGCTTCCTATGACATACTTACTTAGGACATTTAGTTTTTAAAATCACGTTAGTCATCCAGTGTACAAGAGTATATATTATCCCTTTTGTGCATGAGCTATTCACTTTGAAAGGCAAGAAGGGAAGATGGTGCTGTTAGTGTTATTTAGAAAAGTAAAGTTCTTTAGCAAAGAACAGTAGACAAAATAGAGAAAATATAGACTATGTGGTGGGGAAGGAATATGTAAGTGATGGATGTCTACCAAAATCGGGAGTTCTGAAGATAGATGATTCTGCACATCATGCAAAATTAGACAGGATTCTTCTGAATATAGGTTGAATTTTTTGTTTTACCCAAATAGTCTCAGCAAATTAACATTTCTTTGCGTTTAAAGTTATTCAGAATTCCCTGTTCAGATAGCCATTGCATCTTTTCAGTTGCAAGCCAACTTCATTTATAAACATGTTCCTTTCGGGTATTGGCTGAAATTTAGCAATTAATTTCCACTAACTGCACTGAAGTCTGTTTGAAGACCTGAGCTGCTAATGGAAATGGCCTTCTGTGGTGCAGGAAATGGTAGTCAGCTTTTCATTGAATGCCATAGGAATTTTAGAGAATCACATACAATTTCTAAAATTATAGTATACAAACAGTGGGTTATACTATTATTTACATGTATTAAAGTTAAGGGGATTTTTAGGTTGACCGTGGCAGTTGGGCCTGGCTGGCATCATTTGATGTGTTTTTTGATGGAGAATAGTTGTAGGATGGAGTAAGACAATACGCTTTTTGGTCTGCATTGCTTGAAAACACATGGGGTAAAGTACATTATGGGGTGTGGAGGGTATTTTTCTTAAATGTGCTGAAGGATCAGGCCCTGGCAGGAGTACAGTCCCTCTTGCAGAGAGCTTCTTATGCACTGCGAGTGCTTACAAGTGACCTGATTTGGTTTTTTTTTCTTTTTTTTTAGATTCTACACCCCCACCCCCTTGGTGTGTAGCACACAGGTAGTTCATCTACTAGAACAATGTGAAAGTAACACTATCTGTCAAGTTACTTTTGATAATAATTTTGTTTTATTTAGAATTTGGTTGCTTGCGCATATTTTACTGCGGGGAATTTTTGTATTCTGCAAAATAAAACCCTCAAGCTTGACATAAAGCCTGAGAAGCAAATATCTTGGCCAGCCTCTGTCATTTTTACCCTTTTTTAGCCAGTGACTCATTCATCTGTTAGCTCCTCCCTGCGTCTGTCTGTGAAGGTTATGGCTCGTCTTTTTGTGTAATGTTTGGGACAGGTTGGTTTGTTCAAATAAGACTTTAATACCCAAGTTAGAGTTCTGGTAACAGTTCAGCAGTTGTAGCATGAATCTTCTGTGTAGGGTAATAGCTTTTGTAGTATTTGGGGTAGAGAAGCTGGGGGGTGTGAGCTGAACAGTTGGACTCAAGCAGCAAATCTTACAGAACATTTCTGCAAAAATGTTTAGCTTACATATATACGTTGATCAGGCATGTGAAGACGTGATCTTTGCAGTATCCATGCCAGTAGAGACTTCTGTGTGGATGGACTTACAGTAGAACAACTGGACTTCTGTTGTTGTAGCATGTTTGGCTCATAGGGGACATTTTTAATATGGCTATATGAAAAATATGTTTGCTGACATAGCATATGTGTAACAGGTGTAGATTTCTAGTAAAGTATCTTACATGAGGTGTGAGCCATAAAAGAGTATGCATTTGAGTTCTTTGAAGAATACAGTGTACAACTAATTTCTACGATCGGGAAACACCAACAAAAAAACAAAACTGATTATTTGCAGAGTACTGTAAAATGCACAGAAACTAAACAACGCACACACACCCCCCCCAGAAGTAGTATAAATAACCAACACGATGGAAGTATTTCCTGGTCAGCTATAAAAATTCCTAGCTGTGGAATATCAGTGCAGAAGATTGTTTGGATTATAACCACAGGAAGTCCATTACTTGCATACGTAGGGAAGGCACCGAAGGAATATTGGCCTACTTACACACTTAAATTCCACCTGCCTTTTGCACTTTACAGACATGAATTACCCATACAAGACCACGTTAGCATTTTACATCTAAATACTATGACCATCTTAAAACTTCTGCAAAGCTGATAGTTTATATTCAGTGCAGTGAATTAGTCCAGATATGACACAGTGTTTAATTGGGTGGTGCTGTTCTGTTGTGAAAATGAAGATTTCATTATTTTAAACATCTATTATTTTCATTCAGGACTGGGGTGGCTGTGGTTTCCAATAATTATTGTAATAAATTTTGCTTGGCTGACCTTTTCCTTAGTAGAAGAGCAGGGTTCACTCCATTTTGTTGATTGCTAACACAAATAGATTTCTTTTGATGTTTTCACCAAAAATCTTTTTTCTAACTGTGTGTTAGAGCACACAGTGAGGAGTTAAATTTGTCATGCAAGATAGATTTCTGATTGGGCATGTTTGAGGAAATTGTTGGCATATATTACAGTTAACACTTGAAATATTCTGGGAGACGGATTTTGTGCAATAAATGAATAGAAGATTTGTTTGCATGTCCCACGGTTTAAATTTGGAACACTGGAACTTGTGTTGATGTATTCGTTGCACATAAGGAACTAATTTATTATTTTGCAATGAAAACATGTAATTGGAGAACTGACCTGATGGAAATAATGACCGACTGCATTCCTAGAATTACCCAAGCAGAACTGTTGGCCTTCAGAAGACCTCTAGCTTGCAGCACTGCCAGTACGGACTTTGATTAGTCTGTGGCGCATCTGTTGGCACCATTTCCTTGTAGGTATACTCCTAATTGTTCTTTTTACTGAAACAGTAGTATGTTCTTATTAGAACGATTCTAGTAATGAATGTCATCTGATGCTGTGCCTGTGTAGTTAATTTTAACATTTTTAGTATTTTTTTAAAAAACTTGATTGGTTGTGAGCAGATAGCCACCTGTTAATTAAAAGTAATTTAAACAGTCTCCTTTCATAGGTTCATGAAACATTACTTCATCACTGTGGCAGATGTCAGATTTAAAAATACCTTAGACATTTTTCAATATAAGTATATAGCTGCTTTTTTTAGTCGTAACAGTGGAAAGCTACAATTTAAGTAGAATTGGGAAAATATTAGAAAGGTATACAGAAGGGATTTTTCTATATATGTGCTGCAATTTTCTACTTATACTGATTATCTTTTGCTGTCGTCTTTTTTCTGGTTTGTCAGAGTAAGTTATTGTAACAAGTACAGTTAATATTAATGAAAACTTCCTTGAGTTTATTAATAGTTGGTTGTTCCCGCTTTGTCTGGGTGTGTGGTATTTTCCTTGGCAACTAGTCTCAGGGCAATCATTGTTAGTTTTTCTTCCCTCTGCCTGATCGATGTTCTATCTTGTTCTCTCGATGTGTATCGTTTGGGTCCTGTCAGAGGCAGTCTGCATAGAGGTGTGAGGTTTTTAACTGCCCCTGTCAGCTGAGACTGTTGCACTTCATTTAACTCTCCTCTGGTTTTCTGTCGTTGGCTTAAGTGTTTAAATTGAGGCGTGTATGTGGAGCACGTAGCAGAAAAGTTCAGAATTGACCGTTTGGGGGTGCTGCTCAGTGCCATGGGGTATAATCTTTGTTGCTGCCTTTAGGAGTCTCAAAGTGTTGATAATGTAGGTGACTACCGCAGGACTGGACATTCCATGGTAGTTCAGGGTTGCAAACAAAAAATGAGGCAAAAAACTTGATTGTTTGGTAAGTTAAAAGAGAACCTGTGGTTTATGCAGGCAGGTTATGTCCAGTAAAAGGTACTGTTTCAAATGTTACTTTGATTTTAAAAAAAAAAAAATTCCTAAAGAAAATCACCCTTCTTGTTTTTAAACAAGCTTACCGTTTTAATACAATGTTACTTAAACTGTTGAGCTAATATGCTAGTATATCCCATTCTTGAAACTTGTAACAGTAGGCACATAATTACAGCAGAGTTAAAAGATGATGCCTTAGGCTTATTTGTGAAAGCATGTCTTTAGTGGGTTTCTCAAACTGTAGCAAGGGTAGTATTTTTGTGGTTTTAATTGGAGCGGCTTTCCCTATGTCTGAAACCATTGTATGTTTTGCTATTCCATAAAACTTGCATACATGCATGTAACACCTTATTCATATAATGCTTAGCAGTTAAAAATATGAAACTGATAATATAAATAAAATACCTTTCTTATATCCTTGGATTGCATTTCATAATCTTGTTGGATCAGGCTTCCCATGGTAAGATCTGTATCATACTCATAAAACTGGAGTGATTCTTGCTGTATAGGTGGTGCTGGATTTACCAAAGGTACAAACACAAACAAAAAAAAAGTAGTCTGCAAAGTCTTCATTCTTGCATGGAACAATGTGTCTGGCTTTCACTGAGCTGCTGAGAATCTGCTCGTGTGTTGGTTATGGAGAGTACTTTGTGACTGGAAATGAAAACGCAATCCGTCAAAACAATATTTAAAGCCTAGAGGACTAGTTGGCAGGGGTTTCTAACGCATAAGGAACATGGAACAACTTTTAACTCTTGATATCCTTTAATTAGACTCCAGCATTATAAAAACTTCTTAACATGAAAAGAAACTGGGAAATAATAAACAACTTTTTCCAGCTAATAAGGAAAATATTATCTGAATTCCATTTGTTTGTTTCCCAGTGTGTTATTTTTGTTAATAGCAAGAGGGATTTTGTAAAGCGTTTTATGAAACTTTTGGCGTGTATGCAGCTGAACTAATTAAAACGAGTTAGGTTCAAATGCATTTTTCTCAGTTGTCAAAATAATGATTTTTCAAACCTAAATGCTCTATAACAATAATCTCACATTGTCTTTGTCTTTACATTTGAAAGTAAACAAGAGAACTTAACACTTCCTGAGTTTTTGCAGGTTGTACATTTATCTGGCAGGGGGAGGAGACTACAAACATAAACTTTAAAACATTTAAAATACACATGCAAGAATTTTAAAAATCAATCTTTACACTGCATTTTTTCCTGTTTACTGTAATTGTGTTTTATTTACCCTTTTGGATAATATACTTTTAGGAAAAAAGTCCACCTACCGTTTTAGCAGATCCAGAGTTCTTCTGTGATTGTCATAAAACTAGGTATCCTAATCTGTATTTGAACCAAAAATGGATTAATAAAAGAGTGAAGTTATGAATTATATCCACGTTCTTGAAATGAATACTCTTTCAAAGCTTGACAGTCTTAAAAGTGCTTTCCATGGGGTAAAAATTGCTTTGCCAGCATTCTTTGCCTAGGGAAAGGGGTAATATCGCTAAAGTTGTCTAGCTCATCCTACATTTGATATTGCTTGTTAAAATGTTAGCCTTCTGCTTTGTGGTGATTAACTCTTTATTAATTGCTAAGGCTTTTTCTGTAAATCAAATATTAATTGTGCAAACTAGAGGTCTATAGCAAGGCATGTGTTACCCATTTTGTTTAATGGTTTAGCTAAGACACAAAGCAGCTGCTTTCTGACTGAGACAGAGGTAGAGCCAAAACATACGTATACCATATTAGTCACGTTTTATGAGTAATAAAATGTTTTGTTACGAGTTGTGTATGCTTAGAGAAGTTTCACCTAAGTATGAAATGGAAACTTCTCAGTCTGAAGAGTTCAGAAAAAAAAACCACTTTTTAGAACTCTGTGTGTGTGTTGAGATTTTTCAGAGATGTAATTCATGTCTAAATGCTTCATGGAATGACTTCTTAGGCAATTTGTTGAGAAATTGGTTTCACACTAAGTACTTGTTTTGACTAAAGTTCTGTGTCCATTCTATAGATAACTTAGCAAACACTGTCCAGGTGTAGAGTTTTCGTCTGATCTACAAGCAGCAGTTTTCTGCATTTCTAATGCATTTCTTCCTTCCCCATTCTTTTCCTTACTATGTATTTTTGGCAGTCAGTACAAATGGGAGCCAGATGACCAACTTTAAAATTTATGAAGTAGCTTTTTTTAGTCTTTAAAAAGTATGTAGCAATAAAATCTATTGGGAGTATATTCAGATTTACTTTTCTCTTTCCTTTTCGTACTTTTTTTTAGATAGGACTGTCAGCTAGAGTAATGCTGGGGGTAAACAGTGGACCTGTTTGGTTAAGTTTTCTTGTAAGTGCTGCCTTGTTTAGAAACCAGATGTCTGTAGTAAATCTGCAAACTATAGCTACAGCCATTTGCTCTCTGAACTTTTTTCCAGTTTATAATCAGTTACCACTTTCTGAACTTAATAGACTTTTATAAAAATGGTTTTCATTTAGCTCATATGCAAATTAAATGATGTCATAGTTTGGACTTGGAGCTTGCTCTAGGATAATGACTTTGCTGTAAGTCTGTAACTTAAATGTAAAGGGAGGAGGCTCAATAATAGTGGAAACTGGACTCTGAATCATTGGTTGCTATTCTGCTGGAACAATAAGAACAACATAAGTTTTGATGTGGCTAGGTTATTAAAGTGTTCTCTACTGCAGTGCATAGGAACTTTCAGTTGGAAGCGCTGCGTGTGGTAGAAAGGGTGGATTTGCTGAGGAAGGGACAAAAAAGTTGCAAGGTCAATACTGTCTTACCATCCCTCGTGGTTTCCTGCATGTTTCAGATGTAATGACAGCAGCTCTGCTTTGTACTTACCGCTTTCCAGCTGCCACCCCCCCGCTGAACATCCACAATAAGATTTCATCTGGCTCTGGGGCATCTGAATTTTTCCAATACTTGAATGTAAACAAAGGAGAAATGTTATAAGGGAAAAGTATAAAGTGTTGAAGCTGAAAGCATGATATAAAATGTTAACTATATTTGTTATATTGTTATGATAATTTATTTTGTAAGTACTGAAATCTTAGATTTCACAGCTATGTAGATGGAATATCTTGGGAATAGATTATTTTTTTCCTTATATATGATGATTTCTAAAAATGAGGGAAAATTACTAGATAAATAAGGCTTTGAAAATTCGGCAAGTCTTCATGCAAGCAGGCTCTTACTTGCTTTGATTTGCAAGAGGAGAAGAGGCTCTGTAATGTCACCAGACTTTAGTCACAGCTTCTGCAGAAAACATTGTCAAAAGTCTGTTTGTCAGGGTCACAAGATTTCAGTGGTTTGCTTACCACAGAAACATTGTGTAATGTGTGTACTCGTTATCCAAGCCCTTAGAAGAAACTCATGAACACTTACTTACAAATTAATTTGCAGAGTGATATGTTAAGTAATTACTTTGGCATGATGTCTCATCAAGGTTTACCTTACAGTATAGCATTACTGTCACTTTTTAAACTGTCAGTGCCAAAAAAAGTAGTAGTCCTGTCGCATATTTTGTCTGCTTGTCATCCCTTGTGCCAGGAAGAAAAATAGCAGTAATAAGTGATTTCAAATAAAAACTGTTTTTATCTGAACGTGTAACATGCTTATATCAGCACAAGGAAGGGGGTGGCACAAGTAACTGTGAACAAGGAAGGCAACAGTGCTGCTCTATTCTTGTTCAAAATGACTTGAAGCAACCACAATATCCAAATTGTCTGGAATGAAAAGTGTGGTTCATATGCGTTGGCAGTAGGGAAGCTACCAGGAAGTATTCGCCCTGGCACGCAGAGTGTGCTTTCTCAGCACTGGTAGTGCTTAGATGCTTGATGTATATAACAGGTACCTGTTTCTTGGACTCTGGTTACAAGGATCTGTGTGCTTAGAAGGTGGTTTCTTTTCAGAAAATCTGAACAAGCTCAGTTGTTAAGTAATTGAGGTCCAGTTTTTGCAAAGGGCCTCAATAATGTGTTTATGGTATGCTTTCTGATTAGTCAGGTGTGCCTTTTATCCGCTCCCCCCCCGAAGTCTCACTTTCATGGACTGACTTCCCCCACAAGATACTTTCATCTGCAATATCAGGAATTTTAAATTTTGCTAATTGTGTTGAAATTGAATCCTGGCTTAAATTTGAATGGTAGTTATTTCCTTACAATTTTGTAAGGATATGAAATGTAGCTGACGGTGTAAATGAAGTATAATGCTTTTTTACTTCTAGTACAGGGATTCCAAGTCAGCCTAACAAGGGACACTTGCTCTCTGGATTCTACTTTCAGAAAAACTTGACTTTAGGGGAAAAGGTTTATGTACAGGGTAGGTATAAAATTTGTTACCCATTTGGGCTTTCTGTCGGCATAGACAGTGAAGAATAAAAGGCTTTTAGGAGAGAAAAAGAGAGAAGTTAAATGGGTATGGATGGCAGAGTTAGGAAAGGTATGGGAGAACAAGACGAAAATTAAGGTAACTATCCAAACTACACGTGTTGCTGATTAAATCTTCAGCATCTGGGAAGGAATCAACTGTTTAGTGGTGTTTATGTGTCAAGAGCAGGTAAAGCAAAAAATCAAGCTGAAAATGTGCTGGAGGAAGAGAGAGTTTGTTTTGCAGGCAGATGCATGGGTTTTGTGAATTATTTGAACTGGCTGATGTTCAGCTCAGTCTGTTTATCTTGTACTTGAAGTGGCCTCAGATATTATGCCCTGCTCAGAGCTTTAGTATGACTAGTTCATTTCTGTTCTCACCTTTCTACTATGACTTCAAAATGCAGATCAAAAAGACACAATTCTTCCTTAAAAACTAATCATGCAGGTGCGTACTGCAAAAGCTGCCATGGGCAGTTCTTGCCTATGTCTCATGGGTGCTAGCATGTTAATTACCTTTTTACCTTGTTGGTGTTTAGCACTTTCCACTCAATACTTAGTAGCTTAGTACGAAAATGATAGGAGAGAGCTTTTGGGTGCTTTTAGTGTTGCTTTGAAATGCTGTAATGTGTTACAATGGAACTGAGGGCAGATTGCTGGCAATTCTCAGTGTGTGGCACTTACGTCTTGTTCCTGGGAAACCTGCCTGCAAGCACTGAAGAACTAATTGACCTGACAAGAGCCAGATTACAAGAGGGGATAGCCTTTCCTTTGTGTAAGAACCCCAGTATGTAGAGAGTTGTGTGATGGGAGGCAGAACTCGAAGGGAAGGGAAGGGAGAATAATGGCGGGGGGCCCTATCTCTGGGCTGCATGGGTTAATAGGGCTATGAGGAAGCACTAGGGAGAGAGTTCAGTAAGGTGGCTATTAAGATATTCCTTATGAAATAAACCAAAGCTGAGAGGTTTATAATTTTTAAATAATCAGGTTTGTTCTATATTTAGGCAAAGAAAGTGTATTTTTGCAGCTGCTTAAAGACTTTGGCTTTTATGATGTATCATAGTCTCTAAAGGACGATGTTGGCAAGTTCTGTATTTTTCTGGGTTTTATTGTTTTTAAGCATTCTTGGAAGAAAGAAGTATGGATTATTGCTTAGCTTCCTCATGCCTGGTGAACAATGAGGATTGCTTATGCAGAATGTTCAAAAATTAGTGTCTTCTCTTGGGTAGAAATGTGTCTGTGACAGAACAGGATGGGGGCAAATTAGGAAAGCTTTTTTAGACTTGCTGGGCATTTATAGAGCTAGACACAATGCTGAGTTTTCTTTTGTATGTGATTTTTTTGCTCCATGTGGAAGGTAACACATTCAATATTCCTAGCATATCTTTTGTATGAAGTGTGATTGAACACTTTGCAATGCTGATCAGCTGCTCTGCATTGGAATAATTATAATAGAAAAGATTATATCGAATAAAAGGTAGTTATGTCTGATTATGCTAGGGCTGCATTCATTCTGGGAACAAAAAGTCAGAGTACCCAAAGGGAGGGAGCAGCCTCCTGGCTTGTTCTTGAGCAATGCACAGAAATTGGGTTGAAGGTGATACTGTAGAAGAGGAGTTGTGTAATACTAAGCAAAGTATATTCCAATTCAGCATGCTTGAGGGATGGAAGAGGGTTCGTAGGTAGTATTAAATGTAAAATAAATGGTCATCATGTCTTACAGAAAAAAACTTAGAACAATCCTAAAGATTTAGAATGACCAAAAAAGTACCAGATATGAAATAGTTATGAATAATAACACCTCCAGTATTTTTATGAAAAGTTACAACTATTTCCAAGGCTCAGTGAATTAGATTGTTTAGGTCACTGTTAGGGCCACCAGCTGCAAAATAGAGACAGCTGAAAATTGGCCTAGTGATTGTATGAACATCCTTCCATATGT